AAAATCAGAAACTACGACTATCATCACTACCACAATATTACCGACAATTACAACATCAGTACAAACACTGTTAACGACAACAACAACAACAACCACCACAACAACTATGGTCACAACTCAGCCGTCAAGTAAGCTTCAGAGTAACGTTTTCCGGTCTCCTTATTTGGTAGTTTTAAATCATATATAAGTAGTTGCTTTGCATCCAATAATTTTCTATATCTCGCTGAAAGTTACATTAAAAAACAGTGATGTTGTCATAAGTGGTTCATTCGTTATCTTAAGAAGAAACGAAGATACAATAATCTCCGTATTCGCTATTTTTCATCATGATCAAAGCTCACATGGTTTTGTTGATACCGATGCAACGAAATCTATTTTTTTCTTCGTTTCATATTACTACATATCTTACTTTTAAGGGAGAAGAAAACAGAAAAAAATCATTTTGCCTCAAAGGAGCATATGCATATTTGTCGCGCACGGAAACGTTAGTGAATTATCTTTCTCTCCCTTTCGTGTGTAAACATAAGTATCTTTATTTAACACGATAGGATGCGATTCAGATTCTTTGATCATGATACAGCACTGCATTCCTTAGTTTGGATTGGTGCTGTAAACGCAACCGTGTCGGGACACCGCGTTTCCAATTGCAAAAATTCGTAAAAAACGAACCAGAAAAGCAAAAAAGGTTCGCTTTTTGGTCTTGCTATGAGAATTCGTCCAAAATTTCGCGAATCCAGCCACTTTTCCTTTATCTAAGAAGTTTCATTAAATGACCGTCATCAATAGAAGCTGTATATAATGAAAAGTGCATTAATTTTTATAAATATTGTAACGATAAGTATAAAATACAAACCTGTTTCATATGTCATTCCGCATACGATTTTCATCTTAGAAAATCTAAAGCTTTCCGCACATGATTTTATCATTTTGAATTCCACAAGAGACAGTCTTTCGAGAATTTATACAATCAAATGTTTCTGTCTAGAATGGTCTGTTACCGGTAATATGAATATTGGACGACATTTTCACACAGCATGTGTATTATCAAATGGAAAAGTATTAGTTACTGGTGGTAATTACCATGATTATCCGTATAATGCTGAATTGTATGATCCATCAACAGGTACTTGGACAACTACTGGTAACATGACCTATGTACGATCTCGACATACAGCATCTGTATTATTAGATGGAAAAGTATTAGTTACTGGTGGACACAATGGTAATATTAGTTTAAATACTGCTAAGCTGTATAATCCCTCAACAGGTACTTGGACAACTACTAGTAACATGAGTTATGCACGAGAATATCACACAGCATCT